TTATGCACTTGAGTGAGCCTGCGATGCTTCATTTACAGTACATGTGCGTTTGATTGAAACAGAGTCTCGTGGCGTAATTTGAGTGCCGCGGCGTCGCTATTTTAAATCTAAACTTCGTCCTTGCTTGCGCACGTTTCAGATGGAACTTGTGAATATTAAATTGTTGTGGTAAATGGAGGAGACGACTGTGCAGTATTCACGATGACCTTCAATGGTTCTACTCCTTCCTATGACTAAACAAATTATCAGTGTGTCAAAGCCAGGTTTTATTGTTAGCTAGTCAGCTTAGCTAGCCTCTCCCTCCATGCTGACTGAGTGTTCTTTATCTCGAGGCCGCATCCCCTCTCTAATCTACAATTTCTTCCAAAATAAAAGATATCAAATATCAAGCCAGTGAATAAGCTTTTTGAACTTTTCCCTCGCTTATTCAAGTAACAGAAATTAGTGAATAAGCTTTTTGAACTTTTCCCTAACAGAAATGAATCCCCTAAAACAAATATTTTATTCCATCTAAAATTAATCGGGTATGTCTAAGAAATGTTTAAAGACAAGGCTAACGCTGAGTCGTCAGTCATCTTATTTAGCTCACGACATCAATGCAAAATGTTACTGGGAGAAAATCATCGGCTGCTCCACTTCTCTAACAACCACGCGTGCAGATGGCACCAGCGATAGGGGGCGCTATAACCCCGAGCCTGCATCCCAACACTGTGCCTTCATAAGGTGACAAACATCGCCAGTAAGGTCGGAGTCGAAATTTTGGTCGCAAACCAAACCCTGCACCTTATTTTTACTCATGTAAATACGCTGGTGTTTCTACTGCGCTCCATACACAAATGTTTAAATAAAACATTTTGCATAGGGTATGAATGTCTTTTGAATGCAAACCATTGGCCCATAGGCTTTTACTTTAGAAAAAAACAAAAATCCCACCTGCACCCCTGCTAACAGCGCAGCTCTGGCAGCAAATATGAAACTGGAGCTCAGTGGAGCCCAGTGTTCGGAATAAGATAAAAGGTTTACTTCAGACTTTTTGAGTAGACAAATCAATACTCAGACGCCTGATACTGAAGGGCATAACTGTGAGAGAAGAAGGAATGAGTCTAAGGAGACACATGTCCCCACTGCTGAGATCACATTGTTGTTTACCATTGTTATCATCATCATCATCATCATCATCATCATCATCAGCTGATCATGACATCACAGCATTACACAACTGCTGGGAAACACACACTCACAGGTTCTGGATTTTGTGTCAATTAATGTAGGGATTAAGTTTTTTTTTTTCCCCTTTAAATCGTACAGGCTATTACACACGCAATCACATGTCCCAATTGCATTACCCAGGGACACATGGACATGCAGACTCACCCAGAAATAACCCGCTCACATGCAGATGAACAGATGCCCCCATTCTGGAATGATTAATTTTGTAGTGCAAGCATGTCAAAATAAACTTAAACGTTGTTTAAATGTATGCAAGAAAATTCAAACATTGAAAGGAGAACGTCAACCAACAATTTGTTGTTCACAAAGGGGAAGGTAGATGTCTATAAAAGAGAATACTCTAATGTTAGCAACAGACAGCTAAAAGTTACAAACTTGTGCGGATTTAGCCAGTGAGTAGCTAAAAAAAAAAAAAAACGAAAGATTGATTTACAGTTATACCATAAAATTAGTTAAAGAAATATCTAGAAGTTCAAAAAAAAAAGATCAATAAAAATCCACAAAGAATGAAATGAATTCTCAAAGTACATAAGTGTATGAAGCATAAAAACACACCGTAGTATAATTGTGGTTGAGAAAATGTGGGCAGTGTCTGAAACAACATCGTTTTTGAAAAGGCAATAGTGACGGAACTCTGAAATCATTTGGAAAAATTTGAACTTCACACCAAAAAAAAAACGTCCAGACATTTTCCAATATAGAAAAAAGTATGGGGGCGGGAGGAGGGGATGATGGGAGAGAATCTCCCGAGTCAGCAGAATAAGGATGGGAACCATGAACATGACTACATTCTTCCCTCTGCATCAATTCTGCCCTGAACCTCTGACGGAAACAACAGCTGTGGACCAATGAGAACATGTTTGTGTTTCCCAGGACACGAGAATCCGAGGGAAAAATGTAAACATCTGGCAAACATTTTAGTTCACCACAAACAAAGTCCACTCCGAAGAAGACTGAGGAACTCTGCTATTCCTGCGCATAGCAGACATTTTTGATCGGGCACTAAATATTTGTCTGAAAACAAAACAAAACAAAAAACATCTCTAGGACAACTTCAGAAAAAGCTGCTTTTTTTACTTTAAAGAAGAAACACTTATTGTGACCATGGTCTGACACTGGCAGATTGTCCCTTAAGGTTCTATATTTATCTGACCCTGAGTCTTTTAATGCTGCTCCAATATGAAAAAAAAACGTTAGCTGAAAGGAGTAAAAAGCTAAGGGTTAGCCATGGGATGGAAAATTTAGGAAGAGCGACAAAGTTGGCATACAGATCAGGAAAGGTTTACCTAAGAGCTTTATGTACTCAAAAGATGTGTGTATGGGTTATACGCTGTTTAGTTAAGGGGGTCTTTACTAAGGAACACACACACACACACACAGAGAGATACAGCATGAGTTGAGTCACATGACAGCAGAATGACACCAAGCAGAGAATAATGAATGTAGTTGGGCAAGTACACTACAGACCATGTGTCTGTGAATAGACACAGTTAAAGTTTAACTTTGGGTTTGAAGTGAAACGTTTACAGTCATAAAATTACCCTTCTTGTGTCTGTGAATAGACACAGTTAAAGTCATAAAATTGCTTTTGTGCTAGATTTAGCTTAAATTATTACCCGAAATCTAATGCTTCTTTTTTTATTTCCTTTACAAACCTTCTCTAATGCCTAACAAAACACGTAACATATGCTATAATGAGGATTTATATCGTTAGATTAATTAGTAGTATCTAAAATGCGTACGTTATGACGAAAGAAACGTTTTGCAAGTTAAACTACGTATATAATAATAATAATAATAATACAATACGTAATAAAAGACTTAAACAATGCCGTGTGTTAAAGACATTATGTGAATTATAAAAGGAAGTTTCAATTTGGTACACATACGGTTTATTTTATGTATATATTACGTATTTTTAAAGGTGCTGAATGATAAATTAATCTACGTAGCTCGTTAAATTAAAATTTAAAAAAAGGAAATAAGTGACTTTACCTTGTTAGCTGAAAGACCTCTTCTGGTTAGGGTAATCCAGTTTTACATTTGTCCTGACTTTTGCCTGCTGTATTACAGCCATATCATGGAAAAGTCGTCCGTTTTATCAAGAATGTATGAGTTGTCCCTGGTGGAAACAGCTCTAGAGGAGCATGTAGCTGCAGTCGCCGGTCAGTTTTTTTTTTTCTACTTATCCACAGTTTTCCCCTCCACACGCTCGGAAATGAGGCTGAGGCAGAAGGTGGGGAATTTCCTCACATACACACTCACTTTTTCCTGGGAAATGATTGGCTCTGGACCAGAGAAGCCGACTCTCTTCAGACTCGCAGACAAACACAGGAGTTACTCAGGGAGGGACGGGAACAGTCCAAAATCCCCGGTACAAGGACAAACATTGTACTGTCCTTGGTCCACGCAGTCCAACCTCCAGTATGTGTGACAGTTAATGAAAAGAAAACAACGACGCAAGTGAGGGCGAATCCGCAGGTGTGGCTTTACTCCGAAATTAACACTAATACTGGTCCGAGCTACGCTAGAAAATAATAATAATATGCATAGGAATAACAAAGAAATAAATAAGTTTTGGCTTCCGTGGTGACACGGGGCAATTTTTTTGCTGTTGATAGATAGGGAATCTTCCGGGAAAAGCGCAGCCTGAAGACACGAGAGCAGATGAGGTGAAGTCACTGAGGGGCTGGATATACCAGTGATGTCATGTGTTTAGAGGAGGCGCAGTTCAGTTTAGTAACGCTTTTTCAAAACACTTTTAGTGTGAATGGCCCTCAAAAAAACGTGTAAACATATATAAAAGTAATTTAGTAATTTATTTATTTAAACTAAAAAAAAAAAGAATAAAACATGTAATTCCCATACCGGGAGTCGAACCCGGGCCGCCTGGGTGAAAACCAGGAATCCTAACCGCTAGACCATATGGGAAGTTGTACATAACGATGCGACCTTTGTGTATCTGAACGAATAAGGTGCACCCCTCTAAATTTTATATTTTGGAAGAGGTTGTTATTATTATCCTTTCTATTGATGTTATTTTACAGAGTTAATCTCGGTCAAACTATTGCTGAACTTTTTTATCATTTGGTCTGCCAGCTACTTTTTACTATTCTGACATTTATCCCACTCTTTTACATCAGCATCAAAAACTACATCTTTTGGTGGTTTAAGGACAGCCAGAAATTAAACTGTATATGAAATACCCCTTAAATATTTTTAAAGCTCTTAAATGTGTGTTTAACAAATTGTTTTAAAATGTTTTTAATCTGAATAAATATATGTTCTTTAATTTTTCTTTAATATAATTTCTAATTTTGTTATTTTGAGTCTGTATTATTATTATTAGGCCGATGGTGTTCCCCATACTACCATCTAGTGGTGTTGCTTTTATATTTGCTTCAATTAATACCTAAAAAGTTGACTATGGGTTGTGAAAATACCTACATAAACAACAATAGGACATAACTCAACAAAGATATCCGGAAAAATGGGTAAACACTATTTAATGTCGACCTAAGTCGAAACCAAAAATGGCTGCTAAACAGATGACGTAATTCTTAATGGAATGGTTCAAGTGTACAGACAGCTGTTATCAAAGCCGGTCAAAACGGTTAAATAAAAACATTTAGTAAAAATCCAAAATGCTTCATTTATTAAATTACAATACGCAAATTGTCATTGTTACATTGTCTTTGTGTAGCATATGGGCCCGGATTTAAAGGCATTTGTCATTAATTCCCCCCCTTTTCCATTAAAGAGTGGTATGGTCCGCAGACGAGCAGTGGCAGCTCATTATTCGCATAGGCTAGTTAGCTAGCTAGGACTTAAAACATAATTCCTCATATTTAACAAAAGTAAAATATTAATTTGCGTATCAGGGGCGGTGATTTATGCCCAGAAGCGAGGTTAGTGTTTGAAGAGGATGTCAACCCCAGCCAGACGTCGTTTAATGAGAGATTTTAAACGGTAAGTTTCAAGAAAAACAACTACGTTAGCGAGCCGAAGTTAGCTTCAGCGATAGGACAAATTAGAGCAAAATAAAAATAAAAATCATGCCGTTTAAAGACTAAATAATTTAAAAGCGATGACTTAAGTTGATCGTGATGCAGCGGCAAACGTTCTAATTTTGTTATTTATAGATATCTTTCAGTAAAGTCCAATGTTAGCATGTGCCAGAGAGCCTCAGTGTCATTCTAAATGTTAAAAACCAGGATGTGCTGGCTTTTTGTCGACTTAACATCGAAAGTGTTCGACTTAATTTGTGCCGGATATTTTACATTTACTTTTTGTTCCTGCTTGGCTTTCAAGCTATTCCAACATTTTTTCAGAATTGCAGAATATTAACGTGTTAAGGTCAAACCAAGTATTAAAAATTAGATAAAATATTAGTTAATTCCGAAATTCAATGTTCAATCTGTCGAAGCAGTTTGATCAAAAAAATCTCAAATCGTTTCCTGCTACTGTTTTGCTAGTTATCCAATTGCATTAGTTTTACGTTGTAGCAAAATGCAATTGAACAATTAATAGAAGTGTATTATAACATTTTGCCATTAACGTTGGAAAATATATATATTTATTTATAATAAAATTGTTATAATTATAAATTATATTATGATAAATTATTATAAAGATGCAATATCAATTCTATTACACAAATTTAGATGTACAAATTTACCTACAAGTGTCTTAAAGTTCTTATATTAATATGTACAAAGGGAATGGCTATTTACATCATGATCTCAAATTGGTATCTAAACCAATAATAATAGTGACTCTTGTACTAATGCTAAAGCTTTTCAAGTAAATTATTAAAATTTAATGTACTTATCTTGTAGTCTGCAGGAAGATCCTCCAGCTGGTGTCAGTGGAGCTCCGTCGGAAAATAATATCATGGTGTGGAATGCTGTCATTTTTGGGTAAGCGTAGTTAAATTGTTGTTTAGAAAGTTTATGAAATGCCTTGTATTCATAGTTCTCAGAATAATCATGTGTAACAATTAACACCAATGACGATCTACAAACGAATGACTGTTTTGTGTTTTTACAGACCTGAAGGAACACCTTTTGAAGATGGTTAGTTAGTTAGTTCCATCTACGTTACATTTTACCACTTCTGTATCACCTCTAGAGGTTAACATTGTTTTGAAACTAACTGGAAATACTTTTTTTTGGTTTCTGATATCACTTGTCTTGCAGGAACTTTCAAACTCACAATTGAATTCACAGAAGAATATCCAAACAAACCACCAACAGTACGATTTGTTTCCAAAATGTTTCATCCTAATGGTATGTATTCAGTGACCTGGTGGTCGAACAATTGATGTCAAAAGCACCACTCACAGGAATGAATGAGTAACAGATGACATTTGTTCACGTCAAGATTTCTATTTTCAATTCACAGTGTACGCTGATGGCAGCATATGCTTAGATATTCTTCAGAATCGTTGGAGTCCAACTTATGACGTCTCTTCAATTTTAACTTCTATACAGGTACAAAATGGCATCATTCTGATTTAAAAAAAGAATAAGTAAAAAAAAAAAGAATAAGGATGTTAATGTTAATTATTTTGTTGATTTAACCGCATCTCTGGCAGCCATTTCTGGACTAGCATCAATTATTTTTTGGTTTATTTCTCCAGTTTCAATATCATCTATATGTGTCTGCATATGCATCACTGTATTATTGGGAATCTAATTATTGTTTTTTTTTTTTGTCTGTTTTTAGTCTTTATTGGATGAGCCCAACCCCAACAGCCCAGCCAATAGCCAGGCAGCGCAGCTCTACCAGGAAAACAAGCGCGAATATGAGAAGAGAGTTTCTGCTATAGTAGAACAGAGCTGGCGCGACTGTTGACCCACATTTAGTTTTTGAAAGGAAGTGTGTCCAATCCATAATCAAGAATCCATTGATCAAGGAAAATGGCGCTAAGAGCGACCCATCAGAAAACATTTGTTCCATTAATGTTGCTGAGTTTTGATGCTAATGTGTTGTAGCATTCACGGCTGCAGCTGAATGTTACTTTCGTTGGCCAATAGCATCTGTTTGTTCGAAGTTAATGTATCTTGTTATATCTGGGTTACTTTTTCCATGCGCCAAGTCTTTACTCTCTTAAAAAAAAAAAAAACTAAATGGTCAGTTTCTCAGTTATCCCTTTTCTGATATATTTTTTTTTTAAACTGGCCAAAAAAACAGTGATGGTCAGTTTGATGTGTGGTTTGCTATGTAAACAAAAAGTTATACAGAAAAATCAATTCATGGGTGCTTCATCGGTTCTTGGAAGACTTTTTTCCTCTTCTGTCTTTTGAAAAGCTTTCTGGTCATATCATTGAAACTCAGCAAGAAAATCAATCAATTCTAGCGTGGCAGATGCCTTTTTTTCCTGAACTGTCTTTGTGAAGCCATGCTGAGATTTTTTAGAACACTAAAACTAGAGGTTTTGGTTTCTGTTGGTGTGAAATAAAATCTGCTCCACATGCCATCTTAGCATTGATGTTTCTACGCCATTCTACTATCTTAGAGCTCAGCTGACGATGCTGTCGAACAGGATGAAGTCTGAAAACTTTGCACTGGTAACCCATGTAACAAACTGTACATTTTCTTGTAAATAAAAAATATACATCAAGTGTCTTTTTTTACTTTTTTTTTTTATTTTGTATGAAAAAAAAAAACAGGCATCTGAATCTGGTCAAACCTCATCAGGTTACATTTATTCAGATGTTTACAACTGTGAAGACCAGTTAACTGTACTCACACAAATCAGTATGTCAGACATTTGACGAAGAAAGTTGCTTTATTACAGCATCCATGAGGTTTTCATGTTTTGGATGAAACATCTACAAAGGTCTCTGTGGAACAAACATGTGGAAGAACATTGAAAACAATATCAAGGGGTAGCACAAAATCAGAAAAGGTTCTAGAAAGTTGATCTGGAAGTCATCTATATATGAAGGGAAGTTTATGTGAAATTTAGACATTTTGAAGTACAGTAAACATTTTTCTGTCGAGGGAATGACAATGCTAATTTTTCGTAGATGTTGGGCTCTACAAACAGTAGTGCTTTTGAAAGATCAAGCTCGGGCCTAAATATTAATTTAAGTTTATATTTACAAACTGGCATGAAATATTAAAGAAAGCCTGGAAACGGTGACAAAGACCAAGCGGTGTTTATGAAATTCTTTATGACAGAGAAAGACTTGACTTTATACAGGGCTACTTTTAAAACATGAAGCGACTTCCGGGTTAACTGCCAACGACCAGCTGTTTGTAGCCAAACAACTACACCCATTTCTTTTTTTTACTTTTTTTATGTCATTGCTGAACAGCGAATCACTACAGTGACTGTGGTGGAAGTTCATGGCTGCTGTGTAAAAAAAGAATGTACCGGGTTCCCAGTGTTCTTGTACACAGTCCACAGTGTTTAAACTTAAACACAAAAGCTGCAGATTCTGGTTGAGGCTCTAGAACAACTATACGCACCAGGTACTTGTTTTAGTTTCCTGGACCAACTGTGGCATCATCGGGACATAATTCCGGGAGCGCTAAACTCCAGTTTGTGCAAAACCAAAACTTTGGAATGGCAGGAGTCTTGTCTTAAAAAGAGAATAATTTCTGTCGCTTCCTACAAAGCACAATTTTACTGAGGAATGCAAACGCCGCAAGTGGAACCTGATGCTGCTTTGTTAATGTGCTGTAACTCCATCCCAGAGGTTTTGTCTGGGATAAACCTTTACTGTAACCTTTCATGCTTTCTTGACACTTATCAGTGTGGGGCCTGAGGCTTGACCAGCTCGTATCGCCCCACCTGACCTTCTTGCAGTAGCTGGCCAATCAACTGGTCTTTCCGAACTTTCCGACTGACGACCAGAAATCGCTGCCGTCCTTGTCCGTACGACTTGCTTCGTAGACCGTACTTCTGAGCCACCTGGTGGATCTGTTTGCGTTCATCATTGGTAAGGTCAGTGGAGAAGCGAAGGTCGTCCTGTCTCTCTGAGCAGGCGTAGTTACAGATGATGTCTTCAATGTCTCTCTTGCTCAGCTGGTTTCCTGCTCTGTCTGTATCCATTCCCAACCCTTCTCTGGAAAACTGTTCCTTCACCCTGATTGGTTCTGAGATGCCTTCGCCGTCTCTGCCCAAACCACCGCCCTTCCAGCCCATCTTTCTGAGCAGCTGGTTTCCAATGTTGTCTTCTTTGATCTCCTGTCTTGTGGCCTCTTCACCAGATCGTGCCAGAATTTGAGAACGCGAGATGGCGTCATTGTGGCCCTCTCTTCTCAGGTTTGACTTGACCACGGCCTGGGTCTGTTTCAGCGTGGCCAGAGCCTCAGTGGCTGCGATGTGCTTCACTAGTTTCTTTGGCCCAATTCCTTCCGCCACGTATTGTCCTTCTAAATAAACTTCGCACCTCCAGCGATGATCGGGAAGGAGCGTGAACTTGTAGTCAGCTGTGACTTTATTGAACTGTGCCGTGTCGTTGATGATGCAGATAGCGTTGTCAGAGTTTTCCAGGATGACCAGCTCACTCAGATGCTTCTTTTGGACGCCCTGTTGGCCAAATTGTCCTCCGGAATCAGTTTGGTTGTCATGCCCTTTGTAGTATTGTGATGCATATTGGTGCTGCTGCTGCTCATGGCCTTGTTGTTCCCGTTGAGCCTGGTTCGTGCGGAGTTTCCTCACGGCCTCAGCGGCTGCGGCGTGCTTGGAGCTCTTCTTGGTGCCCGTAGCCTGTGCCACCAGCTCATCTTGGACGAAGACGCTGCAGAGCCAGGCAGTGTTGTTGGGAAGGATGTCAAACTTGTAATCAACCTTCATTTTATTGAACGCGGCCGAGTTGTTGAGAATGCAGATTGCATCGTGAGCATTGTCCATTACCACAAACTCCGTCCAGTGTTTCCGTGCATCCGGCTCGTACTGGCCCTTGGAGCTGTGCGTTGGTTTATCCTCCGGGTTGCGGAGTGCAGGAACCAATGACGGGGTTGCGGAATGTTTCTGGCACACTACCAAGTCGTTCACGCTAGCCTGTCTGTACCTACGCTGGACGATGCGGACTTCAACGGGTGCGAGAAGTAGTTTGACAGCTTGCTCCGAAGCTCGGTCTCTGGCTCCATTTTTGCTGCCGGAGTATCCAGTAGCAAGGTAGACGCCCTGGAACCTCAGTTCACAGGCATAACCGTCAGTCGGAACTTTCCTGTTCTTGGGCAGGTCGGCGTGAGGGATTTCCCTCAGGTTCACATAAACGTACTCCGGATTTGTTTTACAAGCCTGAATGCTGCGGCTCAACATGAAATTATAATTTGGAGAGTCATTTCCAATTATATACATAGAGTCACTAGCGGCAGTTGCTAAAGCAGATGCTAAGCTAGAAATTTGCCTCTGCGTATCATCTAATGTGGACGGAGGTATCGGCAGAGGCTGCAATGAAGAGATATTTGGATTGTTTCTGCTTGGACTGTTGTAGACTCTGTTGAACGGCCGATTCGATGAGCGACGGTCTTGATAACCGTAGCCTAAACCCTGACGACCTGAATCAAAACCTCCAGATCTGCTGCCCCCGTATCCGTTATACCTATGCGGCTGAGCATAGCCCGAGTCTGTACTTCGAGCGGCATGGGACTCAAACTTAGTCATGTAGTCCTGCTGTGTTTTTGTCATGAAGTTTGAAGTGGACAGACGTCCTCCATAACCTAAACCACTTGCATTGCCACAAGGAAAGTCCTTTCCTCTGTCTCTATGGGAACCCCAGGAGTCAGAACTGTACGACGATACTTTGTCAAATGCAGGCCTTAAAGAGGGAGAGGAGGAGCTCGGAGCTCTGCTGTAGGAGGAGGGGGTAGAGTAAGACGGGTGCTGAAAATCCCACTGTCTTGCACCATGGAACTCACTCCTTCTGCTCTCTTTATTGTTCTCTTTTTCATCGGTACCAGTTCCTCCACTGCTTCCACTACTAACAAAGTGTACAGGTTCAAATCGAGGCCTTGAACCATATTTTGATGCCGGCATTTTCCTCATGGGCTCTTCTCCTGCAATAACATAACAAATTTTTGTCATACCAGAAAAAAAAAAGAGCAAGACCCCTTTTTAATTCTAAAACTAACTGAGGCAAGGTTCTATAGTCCTTACCTCAAAGTTTCTGTCCAAACATATAGAAGATGATCGTACATGGTTTCCTTTACACAAAACACTGCTTATACTTTAAATAACTAATATAACTAATTACTAAAAAATAATTTTCAGGTAAATAAAACAACAGCGCCTATTTTTAAGTGAGTGAACACTTACAAAAGCTCTTTCCTTATGGATATTTTGTATTCTGTTTCCGGACAGACATATACCAAACTATTAAGACTAGTGATGATGATCAATGATCTTTATAACGCGGATCAAGTACAGTGGCAACGAGTGCAGTGGAGACGAATAGATCTTAGTGAAACGTGTGGTGACAGATTGAGTGTACTTTTCAGCCCCTCTTGAAATTTCACCATCACACGTTTTGCAAATCGCTATCCCTGGGTCTTTGTCAGATACACTGAAATACGTCCACACCGCAGAAATGTTTGCTTTCAGACAAGCCCGCACTGCCCGTAGTTTTTGCTTACGCCATCATAACTTCCTGTTTCGGCCGTGTTGTTTTGGTGATAAAACTCTTTCGGCCGAAAACCGAAAATGCACAAAAGTTTTCGGTGGCCGAAAATTCGGTGCATCCCTAATTATGACTATGCTGATTTTTTTATATTAACATTTTGACTATACGATGTATCCATGTGTATGTTTCTTTCGTAATTAAGGGAAAGTCACTGTAAATCATGAATACCTGAACAATTTAGGAAAAGAAAAAAAAAAAACAAAACACAATTTTCATGATACCATGAAAAAGGGTTTACAATTGGAAAACAAAATGTTGTAATTTATCCCAATTGCAATTTTGATTTAATTAATTTAAATTGAACAATACTTAGCATTTTTAAAATTCAACCCTACGACACAAATTTCAACACTCACGTCCATCCAAACAAATGTGTCTCTTTTTTGCTTCAGAAGTAGAACTGTGGTCAAAGGAGGGCATTTCGACAGCGTAGGTCACATCTGCCATCACCAATGCCTTCCAGATCAAATCCGGGCCATTCCTGTAAAAGTGGAGGCACAAAATGTCAGTTCAAAAAAAGAAAAAGAGTAGTGACACCATTAAAACACTTAGATTACAAAGCACCCTGCAGTTAATGGGGAAAGGGAGTTCAGGACTTGTAAATAACAACTTAAACCCTCTCCATAGTTAGCCATAAGGTTGTAATAAGTGTCTGTCACTTTCAGCGACACTTTAACAATAAACGAATAAAAAAAACATCAATCATTTCTGAATTATCAGTTTGAATGCACAAAATATATAAATATAGGCCAGACCTTTGGGGTAATAGAAACACTTTAAAACAGAGATAAAAACACCTGAGGGGGGGGAAGAAAACACTGAAATACACACATCTCCGAGTATTCAGAGGTAAACAACTGAAACAGTGATCATCAAATAGATGCAAATATCTAAGGAATGAGTGACACACGTAGTATTGTACACTGAATGTATGGTTAATAACTTGGTATTTGAAGGCTATATGTTTTTAAATCTATAGGAAGGATTCGATCTCAAAAGAACATCGAGGCCGATAACAGTGACGCAGTGACCCACGGGCTTACAGCAGCATAGCATCAGAGAAATGTATTCATAAACGTTATTGCAATCAATTTAGCATTTAAAATATCGCCGTCTTACCCCCAGTTGTAGTCTCTCTCCTTTTCTTCTCGCCGAGTTTCACTTTACGCGGAAAATGTCGGAGTTTAAAGGTTGTTCATAGTCTGTTAGCTTAGCCTGTTAGCTTTTCTCTATCTGGAGCAAAGAAAGCAACTCCTTTCCACCTATGGAAGCTCCCATTTCCTGTTAAAATACTGTGTATATTTTCGCGAGATGATAAACAATGAGCAGAGTGTTCTTTCCAACGAAACTTCTGATCATTTAGCTACAGGAGAAAACATTAATTTAGGGAGAAATCATGGCGTCATACTAACAGCGCTTGCTTACCCACAATGCACCGTGGTCGAGCACAGGTTTTACAGCAGGCTGCAGCAGACGGCATATTTTTATTTACCATTCATTCTTTTATGCCATTTATGATAAAAAATAAAATATAACGTTCTATATTTATTTTAATAATTGTTAATTAATTTACTGGGATTACTTTAGTATTACATTTAATAATTTAACTATACCTTCCATTCAATTACATGGAATTAATTTATTTGGCTGTATGTTTTTAAAAAAAATGTTTAACGATTTATTTAATAGTGACTATAATACGTTATATAAATGAAATAATATTTGAATTTGTTAATATAATTAAGTCTCCATTGGACAAATGTAGACTTAATGTATTAAATAAAATAATTTAAAAGAAAAAGACCAATGTTTAAACCATCATTTTATTCAAAATGTACATCAATTGAATTCAACCAAAGTCAGAGACTTGTTTTCGTTGTAGGACTGCGGAGGGGTTTTTTTTTCTGATTGTAGAAAAATCTATGACAACATTTGACACTTAAACTCCACACTGAAGAAGCACACCATCGCCCATAAAATGTCTCAACTTCAATACACAAAATAGATCCTTATAAATTATATAAACCTTCGTTTTTAAACACTCCTATCTGCGATTTAGGCTCTTAGTTGGATATTTAGCAAAAGATTCAACAGAAACCCGGGAGAGAATTAATATACAATTACAATTTTGAACAATTCTGAGTAAAACAGCAATAAGGGTTGTAACTACTCTTTTCACAGCAGCCATTAAAAGATTCATGCAGGACACAAAAAGTCTGGCGATAATTAAAGAGCAGGGTGGAATTAAGAGTCGAGGTCATGCGATCTCCATTGTTTCCAAAAGGGGCAGCATATCGGGAAGTGCTAAAATTGTTATAGATCTGGTGATCGAACGAGTCTTCCGAATGTTGGTAAAATCCTAAAAATTTACATTGAAGCCATTTGGTATCCTTCATGTGTTTCCCTGTTGTTTGGTCCAGTATTTCTAAATGTGGGCCAATGAATGCGGTCTACTGTAACAAGTTTAAATGTGTAAAATATGCTTAATCCATAGACAGGTCTGATTCGTAACATAAATAATAAGCATTTTAAACAAATATTAACTTTTTATATTAATCTAATAACAACTTGTATATTATTAGGGCACCACGTTTGAACAGAATTCAATTGATGTGTTTTTTAAAAAATCCCAAAATGACAATTGAGTTCATACTATATGTTGGTCAAAATGTTTCAATGAAAAAAACAAATTTTAAAAAAATTTGAAACCACTTAGTCACGTTTTGAGTACATCTCACAAACAGTATGTTGGTCAAAATGTTTCAATGAAAAAAAATTTAAAACCACTTAGTCACGTTTTGAGTACCTGTTACAAACAGTAATATAAAAGAGTTTTATAAATTCTATAGTATTTGTGTATATAACTCGACCTTCTCGCCTAAGAACAAATCCGAAGTGACTTAAAGTCAATTCCTGGCCCAAAGTGGTCACATAATAAAGTATTAGAATCTTACATAGGATCAAAAACTGTGGCCCACATTCTGGACTTTTGGTATACAAGGGGTCAACACCATAGATCCACAAGACGGCTCTCAAGATTATAAGCGTGGTACAGGACCGCACATGTGCAGCAGACTCAATTTTCTGATCAAAACAAGTGTCAGGAGAACCTAACCAATATTTATGGACACCAGATTTGGTTCAGAAAGACCTACTTTTTTTGGTTTATGTCATTCATTGACATAGACTGGTGACCTGTTTTTTCTTCTGTGGGCTGCAGGTCAGAGAAAAAAATAAAAATATGCAAATTACAAAAACAAGTCAGGTAATAACTGGTGAGTTGTTGTTGTTTTTTTTTTTTTAATTTTCACAGTGTAAAAATGTAAAATTAAAACCCAAAACTACAGAGACTGCTTTTTTTTTTTTTTTTTACATTAAGACATAAAAACATCAGCAGCAAGTTTGATTTGTGGTGGTTTTGTTTTCAGACCTGCTTGGGTGTGTTTTCTTTTTTGTTGTTTTTTTTTTAGAGCTTAGAAAGACCAACATCGGATCTGGCTCAATGGAAGGAGATGAGATGAGGAGAAAGGCCAAGAGGAGGAAAGAGCGGGAGGAAAAAGGAGGAAGGAGAAAAGATGCTGAAACGATGCTGAAGTGGAAAGATCTCTCCTCCCGCTGAGTAGACCAGGAGGATTTAGAAGAAGCTGAAGAGAAACAGAGAGAGAAGAAGAAAGATGCAGGAATTATTATTTAAAACAGTGTATATGCAAAGCACGGAACGAGAAAATATAAAACCATGCAGAAAAGATTGTGACGTCAAACAATAACTGTATATCCACAGGGAAAAACAAACATAAACTTTTGACTTTTTATTAAGCTATTTTCTCTAGTCTCAATAATTGATGATTATATCCTAATACCTTGATTTACCTCTAATATATTTCATAATATAAAACTGCTGAAGCACCAATACAATTATTTAAATTAGCGTTCACTACTGTTTAAAAGTGAGTGTGCGTCGGTTACAGAGTGTAGGGGGGACGCTATCATTTTATCCACACAGGTGAACACAAGAAAAGACAGACATTTGTATTAACATAAACGTGTTCAAAGTTAAGTGCATGCAGTAGGGAGGGGGGAAAAAAAGCACATCAGCATAACAAACATCAGGATCAGGAAAACACTGAAGGGTTCTGGCTCCACAAAGACTTTTGAATTCTCATGTGAGGAACCGAGGACCCAAAGAGGCTGATTCCCCCCCTGTGAACGCAGAGGTTCCAGGAGCTACTCAGTGCAGAGCCATGGATTACTGCGAAGAAAAGTGACACCACAGACAGTAGTAAGACCAAGAGAGACACCAAGGAGACTGGGGAGGAGGGAGGAAGGAAGAGGTTTTAGTTCATTATATTTAAGTTCTAGTCCTTCAAGGAAGAGGTTTTAGTTCATTATATTTAGCCTTTATGGAATTTAAGCAAGTTCTAGTCCTTCTTTAACATCTCTCTCTCCAACTTTGTTTTTGTTACATTTTATAACAGGATCAATAAAAAAAACCTTCAGAAGCACATTACCTTCTAACACCTCAACAGAGCTTAAATTAATTTTGGGCACATCAGTAGCATTTTGTTAGAAATTGGCCTTTATTATTTTATTTTATATGCAGCAAAATCAGAAGAAAAAAAAAACAAACACTCATCGTCGATACTGGATGACAGACATAGAGAGACAACCGTCTCTTAAATGTGCCATCGATAAAAAATACATAGAAAAGCACAATTGCACTGACAGACATCAACGTACAAAACATCACATTTGGGTTTATAAAAAAAAGTGCAAAATAAGATGGAAAGGTTGGTTTAAAAATACAAAAAAAATGAGGATGAATGAGTTGTGTATTTTTAAAAAAAAAAAAAAAAAAAGGGTTAGCCTCACAGTTATTCATGCAGACATCTTAAGTCAAACTGCACCGGAAAAAAAAATGGACAAGAGTAAAAAAAATCCACAAATGTGAGCATCTAAATGATATTTAAATTACTTTCTTTGACAAAAGTAAAACTCAGGATACCAGTCTCCTGTCTGATTGGACACATTTATGACACTATGGACCGGTCCCTGTCTCAGTCCTTATTACAGAAACTCAGACTCAGCAATTGGATTACAGAGTAAAATACTATAATACTAGATATTATTTTAGGCTCAGTTTCGTTAAAGAGATCACAGATAGACAGCCTAAGGAATCAAATGACAGAGATAACGCATCAAACCTTTGTCACAGGGTCTGAAACGGTTACTTTAGGTTTGTTAATTCGATGTCAACGTGTTAATATTACAAAACTAAAACATGCAGTAATACAATGGATAACAACAAAAAAAATATGGAATGTAATTTGAAATTCATAGTTAAAAATGTTTAACAAAAAAAAGTGTAAAAAAATTTTTTTTAAAAATTAAACAACACAACAACAGGTGAAATGATGCAGTTATAATGGGTGAAACCAAACTGAGCAACCACAGCATCTTCCAGAGTCAGGGGTCAGTTGGAGGGGATTTGGGAGGGAGGGGTGTGGATAGTGAAATTATGGGATGATGGGTAAGGTGGATGGGGGTGGGGGGTAAATAAAGTGATGGGGAAGGAGGTCATTCACAACAGGAGGAGGAGGAAGAGGAGGAAGGGTGGCCAAACTGGGCGCTTTTCTACAGGAATCCTTCAGCTGGAAATGAGAAAGAATGACGTTATTTTTGTTTTGTTTGTTGTTGTTGTTTTTTTTTAAACTCAAACATGATCATATGATTGCACACTTCAGCTGTGACGTCATCAAAGACAGACCTGAGAGACGGGACTTAAATGTTAAGCCTAACAAATTGGATTCTAAACAGCTCCAGACTTGTACCAAAATTATATTTCCATTTCCATTTCTCATCACTTTAAGCTCTGCTTCTCTTCGTCTGGCTCTGAACGCCTACACACGTACCAGAAAAGGGCAAACATTTTTAAATCAAAACCTGTCCAACAGTCCTAAGGCTCCACGTTCCTTACCCTCAACTGTCCAACACTGGATGAGGATAAAGTTACTTCTTGACCTGTACTAGAATTAGAAAATCATTTGTCCTTTCCACATGGATCGGACTTGACTTCACAACACTAGATGACAATACAGCTACTAACTACTAGCTACCAATGCTGCAAATCCTGATGCCCAACAGTCATCACATTCCAGGTTTCCAATTCTCCGCATTCCCAACGCTAAACATTCCAAACACCCCACAGCCCAAAAGTAGATAAGAAGGAAAAAAAAAAAAATACTCCTTTTCTAGTCTTCAAAATCTAAGCTAGAACTCGGTAGAGAGATGCTCTCCTGTTACCTGCAGCACATTTGCATCCTATTTGTCGTTAAACGGCTAAACAGCCCCGCAGCCCTCACTGTAACAGCCCTCACTGTAGACATTAACGTCTAGACTGCTGCTGTTTACAGATGGGTGAACACGCGCGCGCGTGTGTGTGTGTGTTGCTCTCTGCTGCTGCAGCTTCCTCTTTAATGTGCGAGTGTGAGAACAATGTCTTCCTCTGTATGGGCTTCAGTCCCAAACCGGTGTTTTGTCATGTGACACATCGTCTCTATCAGCAGACACAGCACCACATTTCTGTTTCTGTTTCCCCATTCGTCTGTGTTGACCTTTTGAAAAGACTCTTTGTGTGACGACGGATGACTCAAAAGATTCTACTGTCAAAAAAGGTTTTTCTTGCGAGTACACACACACAGAGACAGATGGAACTGGACCACGTGTCTGGGGGGGAAGTGGCTGACAAAAACTGAGAGAATTTTTTTTTTTTAAATCTGTATCAACGCAGCTGTTTCTCAGAGTGCAAACATCGAAATCAGCTCCACTAAATAAAGGGTAAAAATAGAGGTAAAGGTGTGACTCCGTGATCTGGAGTATTCGATTTGCAACGGACCTGGAGCCGTAGGTTAAAGCAAATCGGTAATGTTCTATCTCAGTAAATATTATAGTAACTATTTCAAATATCCTAAATGCTCGCGATGAATCATTTGAAGATTTGTGATTTAATTTGAAATTAAATCCATGTTAGATTTTGGATTTTTGTTATATTTCAATTTCATTTTCTAGTATGATTCCTATTGAGTAAAAAAAAACTTCTTTTAAGTATTTATCATCACATATCTAAAATGTAAGTGCTTTTCATCTCAAAATAAATCTTATAGTTGAAGCAAACCTTGTATCTGAGATCTTGTGGAAATGCTATTTTCCTGAAGCTTTTTTCTATATAATAAAAAAAGTCAAGGGAGAAACTGTTTATACTCTGAACCAATCAAAATAAGCTAACAGATGTATACCCATAACTGCTCAGTATGTTTTGTCCAGGTTCAACAGATGTATACCCATAACTGCTCAGTGTGTTTTGTCCAGGTTCCCATTGTGTGTGTGTGTGTGTGTGTGAAAGTGAATCAGTGAATCTTACCAGTGTAGACGCCTCATGCAGCATGCAGCAAGTGTGGGAGCAGTTAACTGGAAAACATTACGATGTAGTGTGGGTGACACGGGGCACAAACAGAGCACATTACTAAACATGCACAACATGCCCAACGTGCAGAAAAAGTCTAGGAATCCTTGGGCTGGAAAAAAAAAAACAAAACAAAAAAACAAACAGAGAGACTTGGCCTGGAACTAAAAGTAGTTTTGATTAATTTTTTTTTATCTCGCAGATAGAGACAGGACACCAAGACGGCTGAAAAACACAGCAAGTTGCTGAGTGAAGAGAACGTGTTAGACCCGAATCAGAAAACGTCACAGTCCCAGACTGCGTCAGCCGTTGTACGAGTCACTTCTTTGACGTCTTTTCCAAAAACCTGTCATCAGAGAACACGGGAGAGCAGAACTTACTTTTTCCTCTCTTTGTCTCTCTTCAGTGTGGTGGAGCCCCCTGCTTGCTGAGCCTGGTTCTGCAGGAGCTCGGCCGCCGTCTTCTTCTGTTTAAAGGTGTTCAGCTCGTCGTCAAGGGATTTCTTCTTCTCCTCCAGTTTCTTCTTCTCATCCTGGTGGAGCTTCTTTAGACGGTCAAACTTTTCATGCAGCTGGAAGGGCAGCAACACGAGAGTCACAGGTCAGAGGCAGAAACCCGAGAAACAACCCGTAAGGTTTCTGCCGAACGAACGAAGGAAAATACCTCCTTCTCTGCTTCTTTCAGCTCGGCCTCCTTCTCTTTGACTCGCTGTACGAACATTTGTCTCATTTCTTCTTCTTTTTTCTGCAGCTCGCCCATGAACTCGTTTCTCTTTGCTTCGTACGTTTCCTGCAAACTGCAAGGGAAAATACTTTTAGGTCTTAGATCAGAAATAAACGAACGCTTGTAGTAAAAAAAATGTTTAACTGGATAACTGGATTTTTTAAAAATAAAATAAAAAAAAAATATATATATAGTATTCTGTTTCCAAAGACGAGGATAGCAGACCTAAAGGGTTTGCTGTCAGGGTCCGTATCCTTGAAGCCCATTTCCTCCAGTTTGCAGCGACGGTACAGCTCGTAATGCCGTGTGTGAGTCTGCTCTCTCAGGTCCTCCATGTTCACTCTGATCAGCATTTCTCGCAATTTGACAAAGTCACAGTGATTCTCATTTTCCACTGCAACAAACAGACGCGAGGATGATGTCACATCAGTGTTAAATTCACTGCTCGGGGTACATTACAGCGCCAGAACTGAGGATCGGATACAGTAAATAATACAGCGTCACTTAGTCAATAACCAATTAATAATTTACGCTGCAGTGATTTTAACCATAGAGATTTACCCCGGCTGTCTTTCCTCACTTTTAGACGCTAAGAACATTAACATGTTTGTGTGTTTTAGAGACCTGTCGCTGGATGCTAGGACAAACAGCAAAAATGCAAAATAAACACGAAACTGTTTTCATTTAAACAAGCTAAACAGACTTAACTGCAAAGATAACTAGCCAATTGCCTTTATTTGCCTATATCACAACGAAAAAACTCCAAAAAGAAGTATTGGAAAATAATTCTAAGCTACAGCCGCTTCAAACGAAAGTTCTCAGTAGGTACATTACTAAATATAAATCATATAAACTGCAGTTTATATAAATATAAACTGCACAGAAACAGCACATTTCTTCTCCCATTCCTCTTCCATTCTTGCTGCCTCCGCAGTTCGCTGCATAACTGCAGTGTTCCTATATCACAGACCTAAAGGAGACCGGTGGCTCCTCAAGCTCTTGCTAGTGAGCGATGAGCCTGGTCTGTGAAAAGCTACATGCTACATGCTCGAATGAAATATGAGGGATATTTTGGAAAAACGCATTAAACTGCAAAAAAAAAAATATTGCTGAATACTGCTGAGAAGAAATATGAACCTAAAGAGAAAGAAGAGACTCTCACTCCTAGTGATATTACGTGACCCGTGGGCTTACCTTGCACCGTTCCCCAGGGGTACTGCCGTGCCTTCACCATTTTGTTTCCTATCTTCACTTCCTCTGTGCTCCCAATCACAGCAAAGGGCAAATGACTCTGAAATGCAAGTAGAAATGGTGACCGTTGGTAGAAAACAGTGGCATCACACAATAAATAGATTGCACCCTATTAGCAAATAGTTCCTCTTTTATTGCCTCTAGATCAGGCATGGGCAAACTAAGGCCCCGGGGGCCGGATGCGGCCCGTTTAGCTTTTTAATCCGGCCCGCCAAACTTTTCCAAATTATATCATTTATTTATATTATCATTATACTCATGCCTTATCCCTGCAATGCCCACATTTCCCCAATAGATGGGGTAGAAAATGATAAAAGAACTTGAGCATTTTAGCCTTTATGCGTGATTTATCTTAGTTCACACAAACGCTCCATCTATCTGCTCCTGACCCGGCCCCCACCCGTTCAATTTTAGGTCAATTGCGGCCCGCGAGTCAAAAAGTTTCCTGATTAGGGCACTTACGTTCATAGTTGAGTTGATCTCAGCCACGGACTCATCGTCAGTGGGGAACTGGTAGATCTGGACACCGTTACTGACCAGCTCGCTGGTGATTTTAATTTTGAACTTGGTCAGTTCACTCTTGGAGATGGCGTCTGACTTTGCAATGATTGGAATGATGTTTACCTGAAAGGGGACAAAGTTGACATTAAACAAAAAAAAAGCCATCTATCCATCTGTTATCTGTATCTGGTTCCCTCAGGGCCACAACAGCAGCCAGTGCACAACAACTATTTCCCTCGAATTAAAACCACCGGAGGGTGTTGAGCTCACGTGAGTGAAAATATGTGGCTGCATTTAGAGTCTGCAGAAGTGTTTTTTTTTTTTTTTTTCAGCTGCGTTGGAATCCTTCCTGTCCAGGGTGAACATGTAAACAAAGGAGGTTCTTACCAGGAGCTGACTGTGGTTAGCAGTGGCTCCGGGCCACAGCTACTCTGACAAACACATTCTGCTCTTTTTATAAAAAAAAAACAGGAGCTCCATGCAAATCAGCGGGGCAAAGTGCCTTTAAACATGGGAGGCCGAGGTCACTGCACTAAGTGCAATTATAGATATATGACAGAGAGAGAGAGAGAGAGAGAGAGAGAGAGAGAGAGAGAGAGATGGTGTGTGGATTATTAACTGTGAACCTTTATCAAGTTGAAAAACTATATGTCAGGGGTCCAAATTCTTCTTTTTTTTTTTTCAATTTTTTCAGGTCAAGGAGACAGAGCAGAACCCTAACTACATACAATATATGAAAATAAACTGGGCCTCGTGCTAAATATAAATGTACCATGTTATACTGCATTCAATAATGAACTATTGGAATAATGTTATATACATATTCATGTCTTATTTTAAAATCATCATGATCACCTTGAAGTACACACATGAACCCCGTAAGGGTCGAAAACCCCTGTTAAAGACCGCTACATTATATATCTTGATGATTTAATAAAATATAAAATATTTGGAGATAATCTTGGTGAAAATGGCTGAAAGAGAATTCCCCCATATTGGAAATTGAAAACGAGCCTCTAATTATACGTTTTTTCATCTGAAAAACTTAAGTAAAAGGCAACTTCAGAACCGAAGACACCTCTTGGACGAGAGGTGTTGCGTCTTCTAGAAACCAAGACAGTCCAGTTGTTTTTTTTTTTTACTTAACCCTTTAAATATGAAGGGTAATGTTTAACAAGCCATGCTTTACGTCATGTGATGAGAACTGACCTTACTGTCCAGTTTCTTCATGGTTACCAAGTCAAGGGATTTGAGCGAGTGTCCCGTGGGGGCGATGAAGTACAGACATGCGTGGATGCGAGTGTCGTGGTAGCTGTGAAGTGTGCGCTTGATTTTCAGCTCCTCCTGTAGATACGCCTCAAACTGGGCATCAATGAACTCCACAATTGACTTGTAGCTGTTAAAAAAACAATAAGGAAACTATTTTCAAACTGATTTATAACCCAAACGTATAACCAGTTAAGATGCTAATTAAACTTTCTTGTAAGAACCTTTAAGTCGGACATGATGCAAATCACGATGCATCATATTTTGAATACTTTACAAATGAAAACTCTATTTATGATGGTACCATTCTTACCTCTCTTCTTTATTGATCTGGTCACCAAAGCCCACAGTGTTGACGATGGTGAGTTTGAGGCGAACATTACTCTCCTGGAGTTCGTAGGTGTTGGACTTAAGCGTAACTCCCGGCTGGTTGTGCTGAGTTGGCTCGCCCTCAAACTTGGTGTTGAACAACGTGTCCATCAGGGTGGATTTACCCAGGCCTGTCTCGCCTACAGAGGAAGGAGGACAACACGTGGTTACGTGGAATATTACAAACCTGGATCCAAGGTTAGAAGGCGTTAGGTGCAAACCAGATCTGAGGCAAGTTCAAAATGAACATAAAACTAAATTATAATGGAAAATCCTTAACGTTTATAACATTGATCTGAGCCAGTTAAAGTAAAAGAGAGCAAACATGGGTGTTTTCAGTTAAAGTAAAAGAGAGCAAACATGGATGTTTTTTTGTTTTTTTTGCAACACCATGGATGTTGATTAGTCTCAATTAAACCATAAATGACAATATGAACCCATCCACAGTAAGGTCAGCGCCTTCACCCGTCAAGGTCTTCATTTTGTAACAAACATGTCTAGCTCTTCTCCTCTATATACACCAGGATATATCTTGAAGAGTGCAAGTGTATTTTTTGTTTTATTTTAAAATAAAGCACAGAAACAGCAGCAGTGCCTGCTGCTTTATCTGCTGATGTCACATGACTCAGAAAGAGAGCTCACTCGGAAAGAAAAATCTATTTTTATTCCTCTCTGTGTGCACTGACCCACAGCCTCGTCGCTGTAGCCCATTTTTCTAGGACTCATCCTGTGAAACTAAACTTCCTAATCTTCCTCCGAACCAAAGGCACATGATGCATTGAGGAGCTTTGCGGAGTCTGAGATGTGCGTTAGTCACAGCGAGAGAAATCGTTTATTCTTACAGTTATGTAATTTGATGTGTTATTTAGAGCAGATTGCAGCCAATATAGATGACTAACTTTCATTCAAACATTTTTTTTAATTAGATGCAGCAAAAAGTGGTTTCACAATCCCAGTAAAACAATGTCAATTCAGCCACTCCATAGTCAAAGACACAAATGATAAAAACAGATTATTTTTCAAAAATATTGTGTCATTGAGTATTGTGTTAGAAATATGCCCAGGCTTGTAGAGAAACTTAGTAAAACTGGCTATAATTTTGCGTTAAAACATCAAAACCAACTGTAAGAACTGTAAAATAATTTCCAGGAAAAAAAAACAAACAGTAAAAAAAAAAAATACAAGTAAACACATTCTTTTCACTAAAAGTGCTCTGTCATTTTTAACTTGGAGGAGAATCACAAACATGTCAGTAAAAACTGAGAACTATATGGTCTCACTGGATGCCTGAATAACAAGTGTGTACAAGGGTGTGGAGACTCACCAACACAGAGGATGTTGAAGCAGAACCCATGGTTGACGGACCTGTTGACCAGCTGGTCCGGCATGCTGTCAAAGCCCACATGGCCTGACAGAGGAACAGCACGAGCACCTTCACCCTAAAATTGAAAAGATCATATTCAAATGTAACACCAATTCTCTGATGCTTCGTGAGGCGTTAGCCGCCGATTTCAAAGAGGGGAAACGTGGAGCACAAAGTCTCACTCTATGCTGATGACCTGTTGCTTTTCATCTCCAATCCAATGGCTTCATTGGCCCCCCTGCTCTCTCAGGGTATAAATTAAATCTTAATAAAATTGAACTTTTCCCCATTAATGATGAAACACTTAGACCTCAGAAGCTTCCCTTATAAAGTTGAGAAAAACTAATTTTTCTATTTAGGCATATCCGTGACAAGAAGGCATAAAGAGCCCTTCCATGAAAATTTTATGATGCTATTAAATCAAACTAAACAAATCCTAACACAGTGGTCAATGTCTCTTGTAGGTCGTATCAATTCGGTCAAAATTAAAAATTCCAGGGCAACTGGACGGAGTAGTTTTCCTGAAGTTTCATGAGTTGAAACGTCTTCAAAAAAAAAAAAAAAAACCTACTCCGTCCAGTTGCCCTTAATGTCACTATTTTTGGATATTGTTAAACATTGGTGACCCTGGGAAAAAGTTAACACAGCAAAGCTCGGAAGATTTGTGTTGCTTTTTTATAAAGTCACTCCATCTTCTATTTATCTTGAGTAATATAAAATGTATAAATTAATCTGATGGTGACTTGACCTTAGTGATTTAGTAAAAACTATTCTCCTCAAGAACCCATTCTTGATCCCCAGACCTAATCCAGTCTGTGTCAATACTCAGGAAATCAAAAACCACTCACAGTTCGCACCACGTCTGGCTTTGTCAGACTAACCAAGGTGTTCTCTTATTCACTTCCTGTTTCCTTCGCTGCAACCTTTATGCTCTTACAGTGACAGCAGTTAAAACAATGTGCTTATATGGAAATGTGGTGATGGCAAGTTAGACCAACAAAGAGCTCTCAGAATGAGTATACAGTTTACTTTAACAGCTAGGAGACAAAACTAAAAAAAAACAGAGAAGAAGCAAAAAACAAAGGACGACAGCTTTAACAAGAACTTTACGCAGTTCTAGTTTAACCAAGAGCATTACGTAAAACCGTGTGCATTTGCACCAGACCTGGGAATCAAGACTTTCTCACTGAATGATTGGCTCCAAAGATGACTGACAACTGAAGTCGTGAAAAGGGCATTTCTGAGTTGGTGAGAAGGACAACAAAGAACATAGAACGACCTTGCAAATATGATTTTCAAATATGATGAACATAGAACGACCTTGCAAATATGATGCAGTTTTTTCCAAACACACGTGGTTTACAATCCTTACTGTACTGTACTTTACTGAACAGAAATGCAGATAGTCATTCTTGGAGAAAAAAAAAAAGGATGAAAAATCTCACCCTAAACAACAATATCTCTGCATAAGTGCACCTCAACACAAATAATTCGATCACAATTTTTAGACGGTGTCCAACCGTAAAGCATTGTGGTGTTCAAACCCTGCTTCTACATGTGTGCGTGGGTGTGAGTTTGGCAGAAGGCACTTCCATATCTGTGAGTCTTCCACAGCCTACGTAACAATATGAGGTGAAGAAATGAAAAGAATTTAGATTATATGGCAGAAGCAGCGGCGCTGCTACAGCATCAACAACCAGTCATTTTGGAGCTCAACATAACACTTTGTTACCACTGTGGTAAAGACTCTGAGAGAAAAACATTCTACTGCTTAGTGTTTTGTTTTGTTTTTTTTTTTTTCATCTTGAACCATCACAAGACAAACCATTGGTATACAACAGTTGTGGATTACTGAGATGGTGGGAAATGGTTTCAAACAGCTGCGGTCGTATTTGGAAAGCAGGGGCGATGTAAATAAATTGACAAACAGCCAATATCCTTCAGCGGCAATTGCAACATTCCTGAAACCATTGAACAGGCCAACTGTTAGTTGTGGTTTATTAACCGTATAGGGACATTGAAAGCAATACTTTGACCACGCCGTAACAAAACCCTCAAGTACGACAAACCACCATCAAGAAAATCAGAGTTCTGTGGATTTTATCATGATCCGATAAATCTTTTTTAGAGAAATGTTAATAATTTACATACAAAAATATAATAGCATTGGAAATAGGTCCATTTTGGCCAGTATTTTTTGTACCCAACAGTCATTCATATAGAAAGTAATTTGGGGCTAAAAACAGCAATGGTGTTGTATGATATGTTTTATGGTTGTGATTTAACTGTCACTCTTATTACTGTGGGCAGCAGAATATTGTACCCTATTTCTATCCGTCCATCTGTGCCCTCTTTCTTATCCTCCATTACAAACTTGCCCTTTTCTACGTCTAGATGTTGTTTTTAGATAAATAGGCTTGAGCTTTCCTCGGTTTTCTGGGCTCAGACAACGCCCGAGCTAAAGTTAACGGGACTGACATTAAAACAACACATAACGGAAATAAGGAGCAGCAGCTCTGAAATGACACGGTTAACAATGAATGGCTTCCGAGCGGTTATACTATTGTTATATAACACTTTGATGTTCAAAAGAAACCCAACGAAAAGCTTCGGTTATTAGACAATTTCAACTGGAATGCTGAAAAGGACATAAAATGGGCATACCTGGTTAGCTCACGAAATTCTAAAATAATGTGAAATGGAGCACGTAAGCGTGTCAATAAAAGATACGATTAAACAACATAACACTGACTTAACAATTACATTATTTAAGATATGCTTTATTATTTGTAATCAATGCAAACTTTTGTAATTTTTCTTTTTTATTTCCGTTTAAGTTGATTTTTTCTAAATGAACCTGAGAGGAAGGCTAGCGAAGAGCTAATCTCCGGCTGGCCACGAAACGGAAGTTTGTTCTCTACAATTAAAATATAATAAATATCTTAAAAGGTTCCATGATACTGAAAAACGAATGAAGAAAATAAACATTAAATGGTTGTACTTACAGCTTGTCTTGCAATCTCAGTTGACGCCATGACAGAAGCAATGAGCTGCAGAACGAGGATCCGCTGCTGCTGCGACTTCACCGGAGGAGGAGGAAAACCTGATGGAGACATCATTTAGCTTGAGGGGTGTACTGTTTATTAACTGGCTTTTACGTGTCGTTGTTTGACTTATACTAACACAGCCATAACAAGAAAGAATATTCTATAATGAATATACAAAAATAATTAATTAATAATAATTAATTTAGCACAATTTCGGTGACTGGGTGACCACTTAAACAAAACATCTCACCCCCAATACTGCTTTTATGGTATAACCCAGTGAGGAAAAAGGGAAACCGCAGAAAAGAAACTAATTATAATAAAGAATAAAACACAACATAGTGCTTGCTCTGTCACGCGATAGATAAATTATTACACGTTATAAAAATAAATTATAACTACTGAATTTTTATAAAGGTTAGTAGTCACCCATTTTCATAATTGGTCCTATAGTCTATACATAATTATTTATTTACCCAATTACAAAATATATTAACACAATTTGAATAAATATATAATATAATATAGAAAATAATAAAGGAGCGTTGACATTTATTATAGAATATACTATTGTACAACAAATTAAAAAGGTTGAAGAGGTTGCAAACAAATAAAATAAAAAACGTAATACATTTCTGTGCGAAAATAAAACCAATCAAATAAAAAAAGAATCAATAATTTTAAAAATTGTATAAAATGTGTTTTTTCTTTTTCTATTTCTATTTCTTTTTGAATGTACATGGTTTATGTGTAAAATAAAATAGATACAGGAAGTTTTAAGTGTTAATTAAAACAAAAACCTTGACTACAAAAAATATTTTGCATGTAAGTAGATTTATTTTTCTTCATTTTTGTGTAATTCTCCCGGTTAATTCTTTAAAATCTAAGGAATGAAGAGTAAACAGGAAGCGTCTTGTAGAACGTAATGCCTTCGTCACTGGCAAGAGTCACGTGTGACTAATGGACCAATTACAAATGAGCAGTGAATTTAAAAAGGAGCCGCGGCGACTTTCAATTTGATTTTCTGATTTTTCTATTCAGTGTTTGCTCAGCGAGTTTGACCACCGATACGGTAACTATAACTGTTAGTAATTTATTAAACAACATTTCTCCTTTTTAAATCATGCCTAAACAGCTTCGCGACCAAATACTGCCGGGTTGCGTTGTTGACTAGCTCACTGTTTGTCACGTTGGCTCAAAAGGGCGTTAGGTTTGTAACAGCCATACGTTTTGTCCAACGTTAACCTGAATGTGACGAGGAGATGATGCTAGTACTCGGTTACAGACAGAGGACTGTGTTGGGTTTCAAATTATAGGAAAAAAAAAACACCTTACAGTCGAGTCGGTCCACTGCCTTAAAAGTGAATTAATCCTACTTAAACGTCATTGTTTGTGTTATAAAAATAAACCTGTTTAGAAACTGACAGGAATGATTTGTGACAGTACAGTTTGCACTTGAATGGTTTGTAAACACTGGATACACATTGTTGGTGTGGAACCTGTTCCTGTTTATACTGTAAAATACTGGCAGTTGGTTTCACATGAGAGTAACTTGGTAACTAAAGGCTCTGGCCATAACTTATATGCATTTTCAAAGCAACAAGTTTGGAATTTTAGGGTGCAGATATATATTAGGTATATAAGGTCTGATCAAGTCTTTAGGTAACTTATATGCATTTTCAAAGCAACAAATTGGAGTGCAGATATATATTAGGTGTATAAGGTCTGATCAAGTCTTTAGCTGGATCCATAACATTTTACAGGAAGTCTGATTTTTCCTAATGTTGTCTGTTGTGATTCTGATGCTGAAGTTCAATGTGTGTGTTTACAGACAATGAGCACTGTAAGCTTCGCAGAGCAGGAAAATGCGTGCCTTTCTGTTCCTTCTTTAAAGATGCGACAGAGACTTCACTCTGCCCCAGGTACGTAAAAGCAAAGCAAAGCAATACTTTCCCAAACGGCCATCGTTTATGTGCAGCAAACCCAGTTACCTTCTTTTCCTCTGCAGAGAACCAGAAGTCAACTCTGATAAAAGGTAAAACCTTCAGCACTCCCTTGCCACCTTCTGGACGTAGAGCATTAGGTGTCGTCACTGAAAACGCAACCCCTTCGGTTCAGCCGCGTGAGAAAAAACTGCTGAAGCCTCAGGTTGGAAGGTTCCATAAGAGGATTTATGGTAGAAACAAATCGGTTTATTCCGGAACCTAAACGGGACATTTTGTTTTCCCAGCAGGAGCTGAAGGTTGAAGCTGTCGCTCAGGCAAAAGTGGAAGAGCTTCCTGACGTTGAGACGCTCCACCATCATGATCCACTTGGTATCTACATTGGAAATTCCTACTTATGAGCATGTTTTCTTAACTATAAACTCGGTAGAATATTACAGGATTCTCCCAAGATTTCTATTATGTTGAGGTTTTGAAATGACAAGGATTTCCTCTTACAGATACTACACTGTTACAAAACTACATTCAGAAAATCCCTAAAAAAAAAAAAAAAAAAGACCGGCTTTCTCTTTCCCAGAGTTTCAGAAATACGACATCCCTGAGGACGTTCTGCTTCTCCGTGGCCTTTGTCTTCATGGACTGGCATCATTCCCTCCCTCTCTTGGTCAACACGAGGAAAGCTTTGAGCCTCTTCCAGTACAACCACTCCCAGAGATGCAGAAAAATTCAGGTATAAGAATTTGTGCACAAAACGAACCAACAGCTCTGGGGCGTAAACCTAAGTCTCCAGATGTGCAGTAAAACCTTTCTTTCTTTCTTTTTTTCCCCTTAGATAACTACTCAGAGTTGGATACCTTTCTTCAGATCATCGATGAGCTGACCATTGCTCTTCCTCCAGAACCATTCACGGACTAATTGTGTTGTTTTTGTGTGTTTTTAATTCTGTAATAAAGTGACTTTATTCATTTTTATGACATTTTTAATGACTTCAGTTGAGGTTAACGTTCAAAACTTTTAATATTAAATTCAATGTTTAGTGATGACGGATGTTGACTAAAACTAAATGTTTTGCCAATTCAATTAAATACACTACAAAGTGACTCATGAACTGTATTCCTGTGTACAATTGATATTACTTAAGGAGTAGAGTATACATGTATTGCACAAGGTCACTTACCAAGGTGGTTGCGTTCCTGTAGGCCAGACAACATGGGCTGCTGAGATTCAAAGACCTAACAGAGGATAAAGGTTAGCCAGACTGCTAACCTCAGTGGGGAAACTAAGGAAGTCCAGTGATGTTTCAACACCTGGGAAGTTCCTATCCTGCAAGGCAAGAGAGGAAAATTGAAAATATGGCACTTTGAGTAAGGGTGTTGATGAAAATGCATCATAACATACATTAAAAATAAATCAGATTTTGCTAAACATGTTTGTACAATTTGCTGTTTGTTTTTGTGTAGGAATGCCTCAACTTTTACATACTGACATTAAACAATTGTTCTCTCCCAATCTTAAAAACAATTGCTACTTCAATATAAAGCTCTCTGGAGTAGAGGATGAAAATTAGTGTTAGCGGCTGTGAAGCGTTCACTGTTTATACTTCCTGTTTTTTCTTTCAGTTCCTGGTCACATGTGCAGGATTTTCTAACACTGGTTTTACTGTTAGAGATTAGAATGGACTTTGCCTCAGTTCCTCTGCTTAAACAAACGCCCTGAAGCTTTGACTGAAATCGTCTTCTGCACAAAAACTACTGGGCTTTGGACTGAGAACAGGTTAGTTAAAAAAAAAAAAAAAAAAAAAAACAACTTCTGATCTCCAACTGAAATGCTTGGGATGATTTTGTTTATGAGAAATTTTGGATTTTTAAAACCATGAGATCAGCTGATCAAAACATTTCAGATCTTGATCACAGGAGGAGCTTCGGTTTCAGTCATGACTTTTCAAGTTTGCATTTGGAAAAATGTTGTGAAAAGTCCGTCAATATTTTTCTTCTCTTTTAGGAAACCAGAAAATTGTTCCAGTGTTCGGGGAAAAAAACAACAACAATCCAGCTCTTTTTGATGAGTATGATTAAATGAAAGGATATTTTTTCAGAGAAGACGGGAAGGAGGATCTTGACTAATGAGAAATGTGGGCTGAATCAGCACCAGGGACACACAGAGTCTTGTTGTCTCTAAAAGGTCCTTGAGTCCAACTGTATGTGGAGAGCCTACGAGTTCTGGATCTCAGATTCCCGGTTTGGGTCGACTCCTCCCTCGGTGTGGCCCACAGATATTGAACTCTCTTTTCGAACACAGGTCTCGGCTGCAGCAGCAGCAGCAGCAGGAAGCCGTGGACTCCGCTGTTTTCCCACGGCCAGGAGTGAGAGTCGGGGGAGGGGGGGGCGGGTAGGGGTGCTGCGA